AGTCGTGTGCGGTAGAAATACCTCACGATGCATATGACACTAATTTAAATTACAACTAACGCGTAACAAATTTAGAATTTCATTTATGATTGTGAAACTTCAGTCACTAGTATTTTGTTGTATTTATCTTTCGTCAATAAATCACTCACTATCGACGAAGAACAGCCTATAAAAGGTCGTATTTCAGTGGAGGAAGAAAATCTGGAGACACTTATGAGATGGCTGAACCAAATCCGATTGGATGAAGCTGAGATCGCAGACGACCCGGATCGAGTTATGGAGCAACTGCGTGAAATATTGGCGGAATTCATCCGTATATGCGATTTCTGTAACTTGACCAACTGTGAGGTTCGAAAATTTAATGTAATTCAAAAATTTCTAGGTGAATCCTCTCTCGCTCGTATGATTCATTTAATAGAGAATGAAGAAGCTCGCCATCTGAGGGATGACCGAGCTAATCGTTAAGTGAAAACTGAAGTTACAGCTATGGCGATTAATTTTTGAACGTGGCGTCTATTCGTAATTAAAAGCTGGTAAACTGAAAGAACGCCTGTCTTCTCCATGAGACGGGCAAACTCGCAATCCGTCGAAGTTGATGTACAAATTAGCAATTTTTTACAACATTGTGCATTAGCTGTAACCATTTCCTCATGAGAAAGATTTGGTGTTTCATTAAAGTTTCTGCGCGTTTTTGCGTAGAAGCTTTGCCAGTCGCTTGCCAAAACACTGTAGCTAAAAAGCATGAGGCAGACGCAATTATGATTATTTCAAACAGCTCTCGCTTTAGCTCTGTGACTGAGGCTGGGATGGGTATCACAAACCTCACTACCCGTTTCCTCGCATCTCAATCTTTGAATAAATAAATAAACAATGCCTGAATAAATATACTTGTAAATTCCATTTTGCTGCTTTTTCAGACCATACTGAAGAAGTTAGAAGTTGTGCCGTGCAGAAAGCAATGTGTTGGTGTATGAAAATGATGCTATTGACTGTAGTTATATCTCTACAGATCCCAGCGTTGACCAACACGTCAGCCACACCGTATGCTGAAGTCTCACGATGAGGGAGCAAACAAGTCAGAAGCATTATATCATGTATAAAAGTGAATATCACGGCATTCGAAGAATGTCTGGTTAAAGACGGGCGGTTTTGGTGGCAGAAGTTCAGTAATTTGATACCATCAGAATTTTTCTGCAGGCAGATGTTCTTTCTCATCAAACCACCGCTTTGAAATCGCCCCACCAGGAAAGTAATTCCATGTTCGTATGTCCTATTTGACGCCGATTCCCGTTCCTGTAGTGTGGATATGATACGTAGCTCTAGATTTATGCTTTCTCATTGAGAAGAAGCAGCTTCAGCATGCAGATCGTTTCACAGCGAATTAAACAGCGAGGGCTACAGTATGTCAACCGGATATTCATCAGATTTGGCATCCCTGTATGTTGTAATATATAACATCTGTCAAGTGAAGAGCAGAGAAGCTTCCATTAATTGTCGATGTCGAAGCCTGCAGAATTGCGGCGTCTTATGCAACAGCCTCCAGCCATATCTAGTTGGAAGGGGCTATTTCTATTGTTTTCTTTCCAGTCAAAGAATCAACACTCCACATATCAAAAATCATTAATCTTAATTTTTGCCTGTTCTACCAGATAAATTGAGGTTTTTGTCATCATAGAGCTGCTTCTCGTTTCCAGTGGGGGGGATTTTTATGTTACGCAGGTCAGTAGTTGTCGCGAGCGCACAATATGCGAAGACTGATGCATATCATCTCTTAATTACCTTATACGGTGATTACTGAAAGGCTACTTATTTTAGAGCTATGCTACTGTAGTGTAAGACGGATTGTAATAAT